ATAGCCAGCATTTGTAACTTTTATTCTGGCAAAATAACCCACTTTCCTCATAATGGCAGTAGACAAAAGATTTATTTGAACATGTGAATCCAAGGAGTGCGTGCAATGTGGTATCTCATCAACGCAGTCAGTTTCTGGCTAACACGGTTTAGTAGAACGTAGTAAGGTCGGACATATATTTTAAATAACTTCTTATTATATCTCCCATTCTAGACAAACCAGAACTCACGAACCTGACCAGCACAAAGACTGAGGCCTGCCTGAATGACTCAGTTACTATACAATGTACAACAAATGCCAACCCACCAGCACATAAATATCGCTTCTACTTGAATGATCAGCTTGTACATACCAGCATGTCTGGAGTCTATCAGTTGAATGTTTCACAAGCAGGCAATAACACATACAAGTGTGAACCAAAGAACATTGTTGGAGCTGGACAGAATAAATCGGTGACCATTGCCACAAAAGGTATTCGAAAATTCTTTTACTCCTTCAATGTAGTTTTTAGTTTAGTTCATTGTATAGTTAGGATAGTACGCGCGCGCCGATTGGTCAAAAACTGTGCTTTATAAGTGAACGGAGCACAGTGCTGACGCCAACTGCGGCCGTGAAGTGCTGCTCGATCCTGCGACCTGCTTTCCTTTTGCGTAAATATCTTCAATACCAAAATAAAAATAGTAAATAACTATATAATAAAAGGAAGAAAACTGCTTGCTCTGTTTAGTAATAAAGCGCTTAGGAAGCGCCGTAAGTACTCAAGAAGAGTGAGAAACACTAAACTACGACTCTTGTTCCTCCTTACACTCTATTCTTCCTTACGCCACTTCCTGCGTGCTTCATTACTGAACGGAGCACGGAAAAAGCTGTTTCATTTGTTAAATAAAGCATTTAATTATCTGTTGCATTTACTAAATTTTATTGTTTTTACGTATTCTACTTTCAAATAATTTCAGCTCCTCCTAAGATAACGTTTTCAACACCAAACMAGACTGTAGTAGAARGAGASMGAGTGGTTCTTATGTGCAATGTAACGGGTAGTGAYCCAATGAASGTGACTTGGAGTAAAGTTGRTGGTTCATCATATCCTGAASGTTCTAGTTMCMCCTTCAMRAGTATTGTACGTGGAGACGAGGCTACGTACCAATGTACAGCACACAATGGAAATGAGTGTCCTGCAGCAACTGCTCGATCATCCATCACTGTCACGTGTAAGGA